AGATTTCTTTAAAGATTTATTGGGATTTCAAACAAGGCACAAATTAAAATAGACTATGTATAAACATTTTCTTTGTAGCTGGAGTTGGAGCGTTTCTGATCTACATTAGTACAGATTATGTGTTTGATGGAACGAGCCCTCCTTATAAAGAGACTGATGTACCAAATCCCCTGAATTTATATGGTAAAACCAAACTGGAGGGTGAAAAGGCAGTCCTGGAAAACAATGAAGGTAAGAGAATATGCTCACACATTTTTAATAGAGGCTTTCTATTTTTACTCAGTTGTATATTAGCTTAATAGACTCATAAGTCAGTGGTGAAGTTGCAAAACCATGGAAACGGGATTTAGAAAAGAATGTGATTGGGAGTCAGTCTCCTTGCTCCTAAGTGGTTCCTATTGCTCATAGGTCGACTAGAGCTTCATTTCTTACTTGTTCTGATCTTCGTTTGTGTTACTAGTGTCTGCTGGTGGACATTCACCAGCCTTGGTCTACTATGAACCAACTATTCCTAAGGAAAGATAAAATAGAATCATAGAATGGTTCGGGTTGGAAGGGACCTTAAAGATCATCTAGTTCCAACCCCCCTGCCACGGTCAGGGACACCTTCCTCTAGACCAAGTTACTCAAAGCCCCATCCAACCTGGCCGTGAACACTTCCAGGGATGGGGCATCCACAGCTTCTCTGGGCAACCTGTGCCAGTGCCTCACCACCCTCAGAGTGAAGAATTTTCTCCCTTCTATATATCTAAATCTGCCCTCTTTCAGTTTAAAGCCATTACCCCTTGTCCTATCACTACATGTCCCTGTAAAAGGTCCCTCTCCAGCTTTCCTGTAGGCACCCTTTAAGTACTGGAAGGCTGCTAGAAGGTCTTCCCGGAGCCTTCTCTTCTCCAGGCTGAACAACCCCAACTTTCTCAGCCTGCCTGCACTGGAGAGGTACTCCAGCCCTCGGATCATCCACCAAGTGGTCCATCTGTCAAATCCATGTCTCTTCAGTTTAGAGACAAGGATGTTGTGCGGGACAGTGTCAAATGCTTTGCACAAGTCCAGGTAGATGATGTCTGTTGCTCTTCCCTTATCCACCAGTGCTGTAACCCTGTCGTAGAAGGCCACCAAACTTGTCAGGCAGGATTTGCTCTCAGTGAAGCCATGTTGGCTGTCACCAATCACCTCATTTTTTCCTATGTGCCTTAGCATACTCACAGGAGGATCTGCTCCATGATCTTGCTGGGCACAGAGGTCAGACTGACTGGCCTGTAGTTCCCTGGGTCTTTCTTTTTTCCCTTATTAAAAATGGAGGTTATGTTTCCCCTTTTCCTGTCAGTGTTCTCTTCTACGTTCCACGTAAAGGAAAAAGTCAAAGTAATTGATTGAACAGACCAGTTTTCTGATGTATATAAATGTAATTAATTTTGTCTATCAATATTTTCAACTTTCTGCACTTGGAAAAAGAAGAAACTTAAGCTTACACCGAATACAAATATTATTTGGTAGAGCACCACGCTGAGTTCTAGTTAAGAAGGCAGCCTTAGCTGGCATTCCTTAGCTTAAGGAAAAGTTTGTCTATCAGAATGTCTAGTTGCGTGAAGAACTTCCCCATCCATTTCTGTTGTATAATGCAAGAATCTCCAGTAATAATTTGGGATTTTTTTGAGTATTTTAAAAAATATATATTTTCGTTTGGTTAGGAGGGGATACAAGTTATATTTAATACTCACGCTTATAAAACTGAAAAGTTTCGCTAGGTCTTTAGAACCATGGGTGATGAAGCTAACGCTCTCCAATCTCAGCTAGCTCTCTGAGAACAAAGGGAAGGCAACCTTTTTCTCAAATAATGAACGCTTCTAAAGATATTTAAAAAGAGATATTTCAACCAGCATCTAAAGAGATGAAGAAGATATTTGCTGAGTGACCAAATAACTGGGTTTAGAGCAGCAGGAAATCAGTGTCATGTTGGATTTTTTATTGTATTTGCTTTTCTTGTGTAAGTACTTCTTTTGGTTTACTTTTCTGTGAGAATAATCTCTGTGTTAGCTTTTTCTTTTTGTCTTTCTAATAACTACAGCATTTTTCTACAAATTTTTAGGAATTGCAATGGTTTTGTGACTTCCACTTCTAATTTCAGAACTGAATAGTTTTTTTCTTTAAGTGACAATATTGGTATTACTTTTAATGAATTTGTGATAGCCTTCCTGGATTTCCCGTCAAAGAGGCCTTTTGAGCCTTCGTGACTGAGATACACTGGAACGATGGATAAAACAGCCTTCTCTTTGCACTTGTTTACTGTTAGTTTAATTTCTTCCATCACTATCTTGAAATCTAATGTTGTTCACTACTGTGTTCTGTGAATCTATTCCTTATTTGTCAAGCTTTTTATTAATTCCAAGGCTTATGTTGTCTTTTCTGGTAAATAATATCCTCCTTTATGCAGGAGGTTTCTGCACACTGGGTCAGAAAGCTTTGTCCGTAATTGATTCCTGAATATGCCGATTTGTGACTGGTGGGAATTTTTGTTGTTGCTCTTCCCCAGGCAGGATGGGGAGTGCTGGAATAACTGCATAGTGCACTTGTTTTTTTTAAGTTTTTCATTTTTGTTCTAACCCAAACAGGCCTTCTTTTTTCCCATGCAGCATTTAGGAAAGCTTGTTAACTTTCTGGAAATCAACGGCATAAATGAAAATAAGTTTTTTATAAACCTAGTGTTTATAAACTGTTTTAATTGCTCTAGATTAAAATGATACTGTGAGGACAACCATATTAATCAGATTTTCTTTGTGATTTGTGGATGTTTAATATCACCAACATATTTCTTAACACTTCCAAAACACCTTTCAGGTTATGCTACAGCATTAATACCTATTCATAACAATGTTAATACTTCAAAAATATTTTTTATTTTAGGTGCTGCAGTACTTAGGATTCCTGTCTTGTATGGAGAGGTAGAAAGACTGGAGGAAAGTGCTGTGACTGTTATGTTTGATAAAGTGCAGTTCAGTAATAAATCTGCCAACATGGACCATTGGCAACAAAGATTTCCTACGAATGTCAAGGATGTAGCAACTGTTTGCAGGCAACTAGCAGAGAAGAGAATGCTGGTAAGAATTTAAAGAAACAAGCCTCGTCAAGGTAAAAACAGTTCGAGTTCTTGGCTTTGTTTCTGAACAACTGAGAACTGTGTATAACCTCCATTATTCTTCGCGTTTCTGGAACACTGGGAGGGAGGAAAGAACTAGCTGTAACATTACAGTATATTTACATGACTGTGTGTGGATATTCTGATGTTTGGAAGAAAAGTGAGTGAAGTGATGGGACAGACCCTTCTGAAAATTGTCTTGTGCCTTCTAGTATACAGGAGAGAAATGCAAATACCTAACTTATTCCAGTACGCCTTTCACAGATTGCCATTTTCCACTAAAAAAACCCCTGGCAGTCGAATGTAATTCTCAAAGATGCCCTCGTTTATTGTATTAAGAACACTGAAGTGGCAAAAACAAGCCACTGGGCTTAAAAGACTTTATCCTGTTTATTCACCACAGCATCTTCAGCTTGCCACCTTTGCAAGGAAACAAAACCAACCAACCACCTTTATTTTTCATAGATACAACTTGGAAAAAAATGGACCATGCGCATATGGTGGACATGGTGCAATCAGTTTGTTTGATAGGACTTGTACGTGGTTTTCAGTTTAACATTCAGAATGTGTGTGGTGCCTTTTGCATTTGTTTTCAAGTAAGTGAACGGTATAGAATAGCCGAGATCCTCATCCCCAGTTATTTGACCTTAGTCGGTTGGTGGGCTCACTCTTTTCCCTCCTGTTAATTCTGCAGAATATAAGCTGTTTGTGAAAAGTGAGGTCAGATGTATGTGACACCAGTTTTCAGCCTCAGTCTCTAGTCAGGTTTTCTCTGAAAATGCGTGAGACGTTTCTAGAACATCGGTGAGGTGCCGTAACGTGCCTTTCAGGACAGGATCTGGCTGGAAGATTATTCTGCACAATTCTTGCACAGAATTGGCCTGAGGGCTAGCTAGCTGCTTTTTTCCACCTGTGCTTTCTGTTTCTTCTGCAGGACCCATCAGTAAAAGGAACGTTTCACTGGTCTGGCAATGAACAGATGACTAAGTATGAAATGGCATGTGCCATTGCAGATGCTTTCAACCTTCCCAGCAGCCACTTGAGACCAGTAAGTGATGTGTTGTTCGACCTGTGGAAAGATGGATGTGCTCTGTTGTTTCAAGTCGTAGGTCTCGGGCTAGCTATACAAATAACCTTCCTCTTCAGCACGTTCTGTGTGAGCATGTCCAGCCCAGCAGATGTGTTGCTGAGGATGCTGTCTGGTGTCAGCTCAGGAAAACAACAGCGGCTTTGACCTGCTGAATTTTGAAAGTTACCCGGTCAGTCAGTAACCGGTTTTGCAGTCTGCAGTGTATAAGAGTATTTCTGCAGAACAGTCCCCCTAAGTCACAAGTAAATCCATATTGTTTTATTGCATTTTTGTCCTTAAAAAAGCTTACAGATTGACAGAACATTAACTTGAAGGTCGGGATCTCTAAGAATTTTCCAATGTCCAGATTTATTTCTGAATACATGCGTTTAAGAACTTCACATCGTTTTTGCTTTGCTTAAAATACCTGTCCTGTGGCTTTATTGATATTTAAAAGTACTACTACTCTTAAAGACAAACTGATAATGTTGTAAGAATATAACATGTAAATAAGATTTTATTTATATCCAAAATAAATTTCAAGGATTCTGAAGTAGTAAAGGCTGGAACTGAAATGTGGCTTGGAAGATGGAGAGAAAAAGAACGGAGAACACTAAGTTAGTCTGATTTTTTTTTTTTTTTCTGCGCAAGTCTGTTTCTTATTAAGTATGTTGATCAAGACATGGTTCTGTCAACATTTTTAAAGCATTTTTACCTTGTGATTATAGTCATAGGGTGAAAACAGGAATAAAACGTAGAAAAGCATAAATGGTGAGCAGTAATTGAGAAAAATTTAACTTAAGACACTTCCTGTCCCTCTGCCTGACATCTCTTATGTTGAAATGAAATTAACCATAAAACAAGCAAACAAACAAAAAAGCCCAAACCAAAAAAAATCCCCATAAAATATTTGGGAGGGCGAAGGGGAACATACCTATATAGAAAGCTATGAAGGAAAACTTCTAAATGCACATATATAAACATAAATATTTTTCTGTCATTTCTGATTACTGTTGGTGAATTGTTGTTTTTTTTTCTGTTTTTAGATTACTGATTGTCCAGTTGTGGGTGCTCTTCGTCCAAGGAATGCTCAGCTAGACTGCTCCAAGTTGGAGATGATGGGGATAGGTCAGAGAACACCATTTCGAGCTGGAATCAAAGAATCACTTTGGCCTTTCCTTGTTGATAAGAGATGGAGGCAGACAGTCTTCCATTAGTTTGTAACTTTTTTAGTAAGATTATGGTATGTGGCACTTTTTTAAAAGAAAAAAATAGTTTTGTATGAGTGTTCTTAAATTGTGACATTTATGCCTTTTCATTTAATCAGGTAAACATATGGTCGTGCACTAGTGAAACTGTTAGCCTGAAAAACGTTCAGTGACAAAAACTGAGCCTGTTTGATGTCACGGATCTTTCCCTCCGTTCGTATCAATCTAACTTAATGTCTGTTCCTCGCGGGTTATTGGTTCTCAGTGATCAGTACCACTCGATGCTAAGAATGACTCAGACCACTTGTAGACTTACTTTTGGCTGAAATACGTTGTTGATGCTTAAGATCTGTGCCGTTGTTGTATATACCATTTCTCCTCATTAAAAGACATGGTCAGTTACTTTACCACCAAAAATTGGAGTTTTTTGTTTTTAACTTCTGAAGGTGGTGTTCTTATGAAGTTAAACTGAAGTAGGAATCGTTAAATGTTTGTTTTGCTTGAGCTCTGATCAAAATGTTTTTTAAAAAAGTGAAACTTTATTTTTGCAATTATCAAGTGTACTTTTTATGCTTGAACTATTTTCAGAATGTTCTGTAACTTGAATGCCTGCAGCATCATATTTGTACAGTAAGTTGTATGCATTTGTTTTAATGGTGATATATAAAAGTTAGAAGAGGGTTGGGAACAAGTAGTTTTGACCCATTTGTTTTTTTGGGTGGGGGACATTGGAGTTCCAGGATTTTTTTTTTTTTTTGAGGGGGGGTGGTGGTGTTTCTTTTTTGTATAAAAGCATGAAATATCTTCATCTTTCTCTTTTTTGGGGAGACAGTATTTGGGATTGGCAAAATTAGTGGAAAGAAGATGTTTGTTAGTCAATAAGTGTGAGATGGAGAGGGAAGATTTTTCAGGAATTTGTAGCACTGTGGCTTCTTTTGCACAGACTGTGTCAGGTCTTGCACTGATGTAGCTTGTTTTCGAACAGCAAAGCTCGTATGTTGAAGGTTTGCACCATAATAATGTAACCACAGTAGTCGAATGTAAGCAAATCTTTCATCTGCTTAAGTCTAGTCCTTCAAGTTGGACTCAGTAGCCAGGTAAAGTGGAGGAAGGAGATGGTTTGTAAAGGTTAGCTTCCTTCTGAAGCTGTACAATCAACAATATAAATGATTGCTAACAGATTATTAGTAAAACAAGGAAAAGATTCATTTGGATGATCATTTATTTTTCTGTGGTTGAAACAAAGGGGAGGGGAAGATGTTAGCTTTTAATTAAAAAAAAAGAAAGGGGAGGGGACACAAAAATAAACCAACTGAAGATCTTCTAAAGGTCAGCTTTACATTAAGTCCTTTCATTTCCAACTGGCATATGCTAAGAGTTCATAATCCTGATTTGTTTTTAGTCTGAAGTCCTGATATACACATGGTAACCTATCTTCTCCAGAATGACAATAAACATATATTGCCAGCATGAGAAAGAGTTGTTGATTCTTTCTTTACCATCAGGATTTGTTTATCTCAATCATGAATATTTGCAATTCTTCTTGAAATCTGTGTGCCCTTTCAGTGGTTTCCTGCTCGCTCCGCCCCCCAATTTAATGAACTGTTTCCACAGTTAGATTAGGTTGGATCATAGTTTCCCTGCCAATGTGCCACTGCCTTGGAGATATGATAAATGTACACATGAAAAAAAGGTACAGAATGTTTTGAAAATACGAGCCTGAAACATCCTGGGCCTCAGTGCTTGATCAGGAAGGTTCTGAATATGTCCCCTCTGCTTGCAGGTGGCTAAGTTTTTGTTAAATTTGACACCATATTTTTTCAAAAAATCACAGTAAATTTAAAACTGGTATGAAAAATTGCAGATGGGAATAAAAGCCACAAGAAGAAAAAAAATAAGGAACACTGAGATGGGCAGTAGACTTGCTATTTCATTGTGTGGTTCTGGTTTTTTTTTCCTTCCTTCCTTAACTCTGGGGTAAGTTTCAAAGGGTGACAATATGACTGGAAGATACAAAGCTGACAAGAGATGTATCAAAAAAATGTGTTTCTCTTAGTTGCATGCTTGAAGATGTGCACGACTGAAGACAGAGCAAAATCAAATGTTAAGGCCATATGAGTTTTCCCACCTCCCATCCCTTCCTCAAAAAGTTGTTTAGATATATTCAAAGGCTATGTTCAGTAAAAATGATATTCCTAGCTGGACTGCCGTCCAAGGCTCTTGTTACTAGTGCTTTTAAAATATGTCTTAGGTGCAATTTTGACAATTCAAAACTTATTTTGAAGTGGAAGGAGAATAAGCCTAAAAAGTTTTGAAGTAAGTCACACTGTAACTGGATTAAATGGGTAGCTCCTTTCGTTCATAACTTTTACTGTATGTCTCAAAGGTGTAACCTAGATTGAAGCTTCACTACATTAATCCTTTTAACTGGGTGTTTTGGGGTAATTCTGCCTAAGTTCTGGCAAAGTGATCATGAACATCAAGCTGTCATAATTAAATATGTGGGAATTCCCAAGCTGAGATATTCAATCCTTTTGTATAAATGTGTGTTAAGATCTGGATTCTCTTCAGATAAATACACACTTTATTTTAGTATGTTAATGATTAAATTTAGCAATCTATACTTATTTAGTAATATATTTTTCATTTTGCTCCATATGTAGTCTAAAAAATAAATACCAAACTCCATCCGGCTATCATTTTTCTATTTTACTACCACATTCTGAAAGCTGTGACAGATTACAAAGGGGAGAGGCAAGTATGTTCCTAAATGTCATGTCTGTTTGCTTCATAGTTTTCCTGCCAAGAAAAATTGTTCTTAATGCTTAAAAGTTGAAAATCATAGCCTTTACATACAACAGTTACAAAATCAGCAACAATCTATCATCTTTAACATAAATATTTAAACCAAAATACAGAAGCAGCAGTTTCTCTCCTCTCACCTTTTTCATACCAGGTCAACAATAAGGAATCATAATTTCAAGGGTTCCAGGAGGACATGAATAATTAGGTAGCTCTGTCATTTTTGTGAAGAAAAGACTACCATTCAGTTCTATCATGTCAGAGAGGAACTGCATCCTCAGCATCCCCCCACCATAAAGTACAGTAGAAGTTGCCCTGGAGAATGTAGTTTCTAAGACACTTCATTACTAGACAGACGCCTTTCCCCTCCGTTGGTAATAGGTATCTGAGAGGACTATAGATATTGCAGGAGACTCTAGTTTTCCATTCACTTTGAAGCTATGTTGCTGTTGAAAAAATCCTTCCTTTTCTTCTCTGGCTCTGTATTTCTGGCTCCATGGCTCTGTAGGTATTTGTGTTGGTCAACAAGAGCCCAGGAACTCTTGGTGGTCAGAGTCATTGTGATTGCATGAGACACGATCTTTGCGTGCAGAGGAAAGAATTGCTTGTTTTTACAGCAGCAGTGCCGATCTCTGCCAGCTCAGTGATTGTGAAAGTATGGCAATATGGAGCCAGTCCTGCATGAATCCTCGTTCTAGCGTTATTTGATGTTTATATTAATTTATTCATTATTCTGTCAGCTACGGGGATAAAGAAAGAAAAGTTACTGGTTTTAAAGTCTCACCTTCTGTTTAGACTGCAAAGATGCACTTCACTTTCTATCTTCCAGGCCTTCTAATCGCAAAAGACAGATTTTCATGAATGAAACAAAGTTTCTTATATCATCTAGTCTCTTCTGATTTATTTCTACATAAAGATGACATAAAGACCATACAGATTTGTCCATAAACAAAACAAAACAAAGTTGAAGTTAGCTTTTCATAAATGTTTCAGTTCTTTTCTAGGTCTCCAATATTGTTCTAGGGAAATATGATATTGGAATTAAGAAAGAGTAACATGACCTATTTCCTCCATTTCAAGAGAAATGTAACTTGCTGACTTGGTGCTGTGCCCTTTCTCTACCTTCTAAAGCTAATTTTATCAGCATGGCTTCACAGCAGTGGTATCTGTTAATACCTGTGCACAGAGAAAAGTTTCCCGTTGTTCTTCAGACAGCGACAGAACTGTTTTTAAACTCGGTACTTTCTGGTTTATCGCTGGGCTGAGGCGCTGCAAAAAGGTTGTCACTGTAAACCTTCACAAAGTTGTCATCCTGCCCACTTGAGTCCGTTTTGCTGTTAGAAGTTGGAACTAACTAAAGTATGGATCAGTTCCAAAACAGGCATGCTTCCCTTCTTCTAACTGGTGAACTGAAAAGCCATCAGGGAAAGGTGGAGACTTCTTATTAGACCAGTGGTCTTGAAGCCACGAAGCAGTATCTGCTCCCGATTTCCCAGAAAGCTGGGCTCCTGCTATTTTAGTAGAAACCAGACATTTTTCAGAGTGAGTCATTTGAGGAAATATCTTGGCTGTTTTGTGAAGCACTAAGATATAAAAGTGTTTGCTTTCCACTAGAAGCTCTGTAGCAGAAGTGCCAGTGATGTAATCTCCCAGGGCTTTTGTGCACAGCTGGACTTTCATGCCTATCAGACTTATAAAATGAGTTGTTGCCAGTGTTTTTTCAAAAAGGTTTAAATTGCCGTACTTTCCAAATTTCCAATTTGCTAATAGATAAATTCCTAATTTTGTAAGGATTTTGCAAATAAATTTTTTTTAAAAAGTAAACATGAACTGAACCTGCTGGATTCTGGAGTGCTAGATTTTCTTAAATTCCAAAATTTACTATTTTCTCTGTTAAATGCTGAAATAAAAAAATAAAACTGATGTCGTCACTCTGCATATCCACTCTGATTTGATACTTCGAGATTCATACTCTATGGGGTGAAAGTGAAACAGGAAAATCAGATGATACATAAAATCCTTTTAGTTATCAAACTCCACGTTTTGGAAAAAAAAAATTAGGTGAAAATCTCTAGGAAAACATAACTTCAGTTCAATACAATCTTTTGGCATCTCTCATTTCCTACTGTATGTTATACAGTAGATTTCAAATAAAACCAGGTTGACAGAAGTTGCTGACATTTCTCATCACGCAAAAAGAAAAGTAAGTTACAGAATGGCGGATTGGCATTTTTCCCATCTTCTGTCTGCTGTCTGGAAGAGGATCTGGCCAAGTGATCAGTGCACCTGTCAGTTCCGTATTAAATTACCATAGCTAAAGGAAGGCAGAAGCACCAAATGCTGCGTCCGTGAGGAAAGGAAACGATGTTCTGATCTCCAGATCACTCCACTGGGCTACAGTTGTTCTGTAGTTGGAGTTGTTCCACTCAAAACTAGTACACTGTTTGTGAAATTACAGCTCTTTCCAGATGCAACCATCGCGGTAGCGTTCCCGTTCCGTAGCCATTATGGGCCTCGGAGAAGACGTGTTTAAAAGGCTGTTGTGAAACGCGGGTGCTACAGTCGAAGCAGTGGGGTTGGGGATTTTCACGTGTGCGTTTTATAACGAGAAGGATGCCACTCGGAGAGCCTCTCCAATTCTGTGCATACAGTGAGCTGACTTCTTCATAAAATCCGGTCATCTTCCCGTCCAGGCTTTCTTTGCTTCAGTATTTGTGTAATGTGTTAGTTCAGTTCTTAATACAGATTCACAGAAAAGCTTGATTTAAAAATAATTCCCCTGAAGTAAGTTGTTCTGTGTGCTCGAGCTCTTGAGAAACAGCAGAAATAATTCACTCAGCCTCGCCTGACACCACCCACCTGTAGCAACGTCACACACGTAAGCGTGTGTTGCATTCGAGTCTTTCCTGCTGCAGAGGTGAACACAGGTATTTGAATTAGGACAGTTGGTGGAAA